GTCTGTGTACACTTTACAGGAACACACCAACATGTACCTCATTTATGGGGAATGTAGATGCAATGATAGTACTGCAGCTAGGCTTTATCATGGTACCCAAATGCTGGTCATCATCCCGTTCACCGAGTTTTTGTGAATGTGTACTGTTTACTCCCAGAGGGAAGATACCCAAATCAATCACATGGCAAAGGAAGAGGACGGGGTCGTCGAACTAAGAGCAGTCGAAGTACATCAGTACGTCAAATAGAATAAAGCACAGCACACCAATTCTTGCGAAAGAACGAGCTCCACCCGTACCACGTACAGCGGGTACAATCTCTACAACCCCAGAATTATCCTCCAAGAGTTGAGTTTTGTCAAACAATGTTATAGAAACACCTTGAATGTCGCGATTTTTAGAGAAAATTTTATGGACTGATGAGATGACATTTAAAAAAGAATTACACGAATCTACATAACTTACATGAGTAGCATGTAGAAAATTCACATTTGATGAGTCAAGATAAATCACAGTATCGTTTTAAACATGTGGACCAGGATTCTAAATGGTAGAATCATTGTACCCTTTGAGCACCACAGTCCTTGAATAGCGAAATTTATTTCGACTTTCTACAAAATCATATAGGTACCAAATTTATTGGGAGACTGTCACTAAGCATTGGATAGGGCGGTCTGGTACAATTTCATGGCCAGTCCGTTCACCTGACCTAAATCCACTCGATTTTTTTACTGGAGAGTGGTGAAAGAAAAGTTTACTCAAAGCTGAATTTGTTCATTCAACAATGAAATAAATTATTATTTTTTTATTATTATTATTATTTGTTAATAACAAGATTTGCCCATCTGATAACCTATACATATTTACGATGTCAAACTTGCATTGCTGCTGAAGGAAGGCAGTTTGAATATGTATTGTGAATTTAGTAAACACAATCACGAATTAACAAAAGTGGTGTTACTACCTTGCTGTCACTTCGTCCAATGACACTGTCCATCACTCTATCTAACAAAAAATTGAAATTTGTACTACTGGGAACTAGAAGATCATCACAGGGTGTAGACTTCTCCGATTTTTTTTAATGCCTATAATTTGAAAGTATTGGATTTTGGATATTTTTCTGATAACTAAATATTATGACTTGACTTCCGGTTTGACGACGACTTCTAGGACACCCTGTATAACACTTTTAGCTATAAATCAATAAATGCATTCAATTTGGAAAATATTTCATTTGCTAAATTTTATAATTGAGTCAGGATATCCAAATGCCTTGAAACATTATTAAAAATGTCATAATATAAAGCTTGTTTAGTGAGCTGTTTTACGCTAATGTATAGGTTTATGAAAATTCTATAGAACATATCCTTACCAAACAATCAGTTTATAGTCACAGCTGATCCCCTTCTTGTACTTATTATTTGGAAGAAATATAACATAGTGGATATTTTCAACTTTCGGTTCAACTGGAGTTTGCTGCGAAGGAGCAACTTTTTTGATTTTCTCAAAAACACTCTTGATCAACTCCAACTGATGTTCATTGGTTGTTTCATCTGTGAGAAGTTTTTTACTGCACCCTTCAACATTATTTACAGTTTTCCTTTTCCTAGATTGTGTATCAGATCTGCATTGTTCAGTTTCTTTTTTTCTTAAAAATTCCTCATATCTGAGAAGCTTATAACCATGTTGGGCTAGCATTCTATATGCCCTATATAACTTACATCCTACTGTTTCAGTAACTATATCATAACAGTCTTGTATGCTCAAAGGTATTTCATTTTTAGTTACTTCCAATTTATTCTAAAATACCAAAATATGTTTAAAATACAATAAAATATATATATCTGACTTGATGTTCATTTTGGGGGTAAGGGGTGAAGATTGGCCTTTTTCAACCATCATTGTGTCAAAATTGAAAGCAATGGCCATTTTTATGACATTTATATTGAGTTCAAGAAAAAAAGCACTTAAAATGGCTGGGATTCAATGAATATGAATGTTTGACAGTTTTTCCATGATGCATCCACTTTTTTCATTTATTGAATGAATTTAAACTTGAAGGGTGAAAAAACATCAATATTTACCCACTTGCTTTGGCCCTGCCTCAATAAAATTTTTGACCTACACCCAGAACTCTTTTTTAACATGTTAAACGCCATCAGGCCAGTCATGTTTCCAACAAATAAATGTGTCTAATCTATCATCTATGTCAAAAGCTGACACAAAATGGGAATAACATGTACTGAAAAAAAGTAGGAAAATCACATGAAGTATTGTAAAGGATGTTACAGTAAAAAAATAAGGGGTGAAATACCAAAAAATAAAATTCCTAGAGTTACTACATATTGCGACAGTTGTGAAGGAAACCCTCACTTTTGCTTTGACTATTTTGGAACAAGTCAAAAAAAAAATGAAATTATCTTATACTTTGTATCCCTATATCATAACTTATTTTATATATATACAGGGTGACTTTGAAGTTGAGTCATTAATTTTCAGATAATGATTGTAGAAGGAAGATAAACCAAAATGTGTATGTAAAAATAAAAAAAAAATTTTACCTTGTTTTATAAAGTATCCTCCCGACAAGTATTTCAGTGCGGACCTGTATTTGATCGTGAGGTCTTGGAGCACCGGCATGCAGTCCCCTGTGTGGTCTTAAATCACCTGATTCACGAGCCTGTTGTACTACATTAACAAAGGCACGAGGGGTTGGTTGCACTCGATTGGGAAACCGATCCGCATAAACATGTGCCATTTTTTATTTCGTTTGAGCCACGCAACAGACACCACTATTCAAACGCGTTACCGACTGACACTGACTGTATACAACTGACTAAAATAATTGTAAAAACATCGTTCCAAATTCTTTCGCTTTTTTGTTTCCGATGCGATGAACCAAACACGAGCACATAATATTATTATTGAGACAGGGCGGTACTCAAACTTCCAAAGGGCTATAACTTTGTTACTTTAATTTTACCAGAAAAATGGTAAAGGAAAAAAACATTTGATCAGATCTACTCACTGTTAAAATAAATGACTCAACTTCGAAGTCACCCTGTATATATATATATACAGTGAGTGAGTAGATCTGATCAAAAGAAATGTTTTTTTCCTTTAACATTTTTCTGGTAAAATTAAAGTAACAAAGTTATAGCCCTTTATCGGAAACATAAAAGCAAAAGAATTTGAATCACGATGTTTTTACTACAATTTTATTCAGTTGTATTCAGTCAATGTGTCAGTCGGTAACGCGTGAGTGAATAGTGGTGTTTGTTACGTGGCTCAAACGAAATAAAAAATGGCACATGTTTACGAAAACTTGTGGACATGATTCTTATTTACGGGGGGGAGTCTTTACAAAATGCTGCCGCGGCATCACGAATTTATGCGGATCAGTTTCCCAATCGAGTGCAACCAACCCCTCGTGCCTTTGTTAATGTAGTACAAAGGGCTCGTGAATCAGGTGACTTAAGACCTCACAGGGGAGGACATGCCGGTGCTCCAAGACCGCATGATCAAATACAGGTCTGCACTGAAATACTTGTCGGGAGGATACTTTATAAAACAAGGTAATATATATATATATATATATATATATATATATATATTTACATCTTAAGACCATACTGCTTCCTTTCAAAGACAAAGCATTCTGCGTCCACCGTTAGGAATTGCGCTAGCATACATTTTGATGTGTATATAGGTTCCTCATTGAATTCTGCTTATACCGATATACTTTTTATTGTCCATATTATGAAGGCACCAATATACACGGTATACACTTTTTTCGCGAATTAAATATTTTGGTTCTCTCTATATGACAATCTAAATTACTACCATCAGTATAAATCTGTACGTAAGTAGAACTATTTTGATTCCATAAGTTGTATATTTAACGTAGCAATGGTTATTTTGCTTCCGACAGTGTTGCGAAATTTACCATCTTTCAGTTCAGCTTAATTATTAACTTGGTTTGTATCTATGACATATAAGTTATTGGTAAATAGATATTATTATATGTCAAATTGTACTATAACTTTTTAGACACAATATTTCTTGAAGAAAAAGATTATTTAGATTATATCTCACAGAGAAAGGCGCTACCAACGAAAAGAATGTATAAATAATACTGAAAGAAGTAAAATCAATCCGTTTGGTAACTTGAAACCGAAATTTATAAGAAAATTGGTAGAGACGCATTTGACACTCAGTTACATGAAGGTATATGAAATGAGCAATCAGTCAGCACAACTTTGTATCAACCTAGGCCCAAGACAATTACAGTCAATGTGGAGATTTGATGATATAGCCGCAGTAATGGTAACATAGATTTGGAAGAAAATGATATGATAACCATTGTGCCATTAGCCGCACAACTCAAACTAGTGGAAAATAACATATCGGCTAAACATGCTTATAATGTTAATGCTTACAATATCTGGTAGTGGAATACTTTTGAACTGAAAAAAGGGAGAGAGCTGCCAATGAATTTTGAACGGCTCTTCCGGTATTTTGGAAGTAATTGCAAAACACCTATCAAGTGTGAAGCAAACTTATACCAGGCTTAGAAAACAACTCGTATCATGAACTCACCAGTTGTACAGAATCTGAATAATAAAGACGTTTATTATTATTATCATTGTGTCAACTATTTAATTTAACGGAAGTGAAATCTGAGAGATGTCCAATTTTATGGGGCATATACTAGGGGTAGATGGAGATGTAAATCGCAGCCCCTATGCATCAATGTCTGAATTGCTAATTCTGATGGAAAAAGGACAAGCTAACGGAAACAAAGGAAAATAATCAGAAGAAATAACAGTGGATTTAGTAAAAGCTCTTTTGGAACAGAGCAGATCTGATAATGAGCATGTCGAAAAGAGGGAGGATGAAAAAGAGGATCAGGAAAAAAAAGAAGTAAAAGAAAAAGTTATCAAATAGCAGTGCAACGCAAGGTGGTATGAACGTTTATATTAAATATTTCCATAAACTATGACAAGAAATACACACATTTACTAATGATACCCTCTGATAGCAGTCTAAGTACAACTAGCGGTCAAAATAAATGAACTCAAATGAGCTTGATTTCTTTATTTTCATTCACATTCACATTTTACAACTTATTTGCTTCTTTTTGAATACGCATTTTGTATAAAAACTTTAATCTTTAGCCAGTCTTTATTGGCTAGCAACTCGGGGTATAAACTTTTAATTTCTTCACAGTCCTTTCTTTTTGGAGCTTTTTTCATCTTTATGTTCTTATTAAAGAAGAATGTTACTGCTTCCTTCTGTTCACTAGTCCATGGTGTAAGAATACGCTTTTTCTTATTGACAGCCACAGGTAATTCCGTTTTCTTTCCTTTTTGCTCTGACACTACTGTTTTATTAGATAACATTTCTCTTATTTCTTTTTCTTCCTGATCCTCTTCTCCCTTTTCCATATCTTCTCCATCCTCGTCATCACACCCGTTCTCCTCTAATAGATCTTCTTCTAAGTCCACTGTTATTTCCTCTAATCCTTTCCCTTTATTTTCACCAGCTTCTCCTTTTTCCATCAGAATTAGCAATTTTGAAATTTTCGCGGTCTGGTACAAATCGTCGGGTAACCTATATGCGTCTTTATGTACCCCAGGTGTATGTCCCATGAAATTGGACAACTGTTCGATTTCATTTTCGTTTAAACTAAATAGTTGACTCAATGTTGCAAGGTGTTTTCTAAGCCTGGTACAAGTAATTGCTTGAGGATTTTTTGCTCCACAAGCATGAGCATATTTTGCAATTACTTTATATCCCTGAATTGGCCCGGTGAGCCGTGGTTTGCCAAAAAAGTAAGGATTTTCTTTTGGGACAAAATTATTCCTCACTTTGAGTAATTCTTTGACATGAAGCTGTATATCGTTGCTGAACAATACCGGTACACCACGGCCTCTTTTACCTCGTATCACAACTCTTTTCAGATTTTTTATCAGTAGTTTTTCCGCCTCGGTTATGACTTCTTCAAATTCTTCATAGGCGCCACTTTTAATTTCAGAACTCTCATAAGTGCGAAGAATCATCCTTTGCAGTTCACCTGGTCTTTTTCTATTTAGTAGTATTACCCTGCAATAAACTGTCTCCAGAAGAGTAGTGTAAGCGTTCGCATCAGCAGCATTTCTAGCCAACCTGTTCACTGCCTCTCCTGCTTTCAACAACAAGTAGTTTTTTAAAAGCCTAAGGTCTGTTGCTAATGGCACAATAGTCACCTTATTGAATTTTTTCAGGTTCAAATCATTGCCAGCGCGGCCAGAGACATCAAATCTCCAATTTGATTGCAGCAAATTAATCATCGTTTTGAGGCTAGCTTCATAAGTAGCTGTTTCAACTGATGGTTCATTTTTTATAACCATGTGTATTGCAATGTCACAACACTGTTTCAGTGCGGTACTTATATTCATGGCAAATGTGGGAGAATCAAATGTGTCATTAACAGTATCGTAGTTTGCTACTGATTTTGTAGCTTCAACTAGTTGGTCATAGTGCTTCGGTTTCAGGGCATCAAACAGATTGTGTATTGTTGGCTCCAGTTTTTTCAATTCTAGTAATATTCTGGAAAGCTCTCTCATTTTTCTACTCGTTACATTGATAAAATGCTTTTCTCTATGGGTTTTCAAATATCTAGCACCATAGGCACAAATAAGATAATCATTTTTAGCCTCAAGAGATATTTTGTCCGCTCTCATTCTGGGAAAGACTTCGACTTTCAATCTTTGGTCAATTCTTTTATTTTTCACGAGAAGATTCTGCGCTTCAGATTGAGCATTTTTTGCTGACTGACCTTCCAAGCACTTTTTTTTGTGTCTGTATAAAAACTTTGATCTGTAGAATCCAAGACAATTTCCGCACGGAAGAAAAGATGCACTTGGTGAACGAGCCTTCTTCACAGGTTTGACGCACTCTTCTGAATTTTTTATGAAATTGCCTTTTTTCTTCAAAATTGCAAGTAATTTTCTCCTTTCTACAGAATTCTTTTGATGTGAAAATATTTCCTGAACTTTTGTTTCACATAAATGGTTCCTGCGTAGATGGCGTACAAAGTTCTGTACGTCCGTCTCACAGAAGTAACACATATCGGTCTGGCGTTTATATTTCTTCGATGCTGCGTGTCTAGAGGGCTCTGCAGATTCGCCTTCACCAGCACAAATCAATGGCGGTTCATTCTCCATTTCCTGAAACAAGCGATGATTAATAAATTGAAATTATGTATTGGTGAATCATCTAGTCATATCAAGTGTAAAATTAAAGAACATAGTAGTTTGGAAAACAGTGATCTCTCAACGTGAAACTACTACCATATGGCCAGGGCTTTCAACCTTGTCTTAGTTGGCCGGGACTATAATTCTTGCCTTAGTATAGTAGCCCGGAGCTTATTCAAGGTCAAATATGAGCGTCACCCCAGGACATATCTAAACGTAATATTTTTCGCTCATTTCATTGCAGGAGTCAAAAATGAGGATCTACGTTTAAAATTCTACCTTTAAATGACCTTCAAGGTCATAGTCGAATCCAAGGTCATCTTCTGATAGCTGAGGATTAATCCTACAACTTTTATTTACTGTATTCCACCCTAAAATGCATTCCCGAAGAGTTACCCATTAGTGGTGATTTGACGTTGAAGATCACTCAATGTGAAATATAAGGATCGCTCAAGGTGATGCTTGAATTTAAAATGTTCCGCCAGTTTCATTACTCGAATCAATAATAGGTCTTTACATTATTTGAAATTTTGTTAACCTTCAAGGTCAAAGTCAAGGTAAAAACCAAGGTCACCGACCGATAGATGACGCATAATCCTACAACCCTTATTTGAAGCATTTCTGAAAAGTATTCCCAAATAGTTGTCGAGCCGTCACGGTATTTTGCCACATCCTGTATGCCATATATTGCTATCAACGAACTTGGTTTTGTGATGTACATGTCATGAAACATTAAAAAAGTATCATCTTGATTTAGCAATGTTTCGCAATTACAAATACTTCCCCGCCAATTTACGCGAGAAGTAAAAAAGTACAACAAATGGCAAATTCGCAGGATTAATATTTGATGGACTTTTTGGTAATTTCTATAACCTAACAGTTTTAACGCGTATTGAAATAAAAAGTACATAGATGTGGCTATAAAAATAGAACAAAAAAGTACTAAATAGTAAAATATCTCATGAGCTTTATGTTTGCTATCCTTTTTTATAATCAAAGAGTTCTAATTTCATTCGCTCATCCGAAACCTAGATCGCGCATGTGATTTGACAAGTGGCGATTATCTATATGTTGCGCATACAATCTTTTTTTATGTCATTTGTATGATCTACGACCTTAAAAAAATTCGGCGGGTGTATTTTTTAAGCAAAGTTTTAGCGAACTTATGAAGGCGAAAAGTCTGTTATTATGGTGCTGTATTAGAAACGGAGGCTATATTGTACCTATGTTTGCTGGCTTTTTCGTTCATAATTTACCTGTTTTTGTTTGGGAATGTTTCTTTTGGGTTCTTCCTCTGATTCACTTTCAGTGTCTGGAACAAATTCGGGATCAGCATCGCTATCATATGTAGGAGACGCAGGGGAATTTTGTTGGTCCTAGAAATATAACTCTGTTGATATGGCAATAAATTCACATATACAATTCATTGTCAGGTCACTGCAGAAGTTACATTTGGATATGATTCGTAAACTTCAAAGTCTATAGCCACAGGCGGGTTCAGGATTTCGTCTAGGGGGGGGGGGGGGGGGGCGGGGCGCAAACGATATTTGGGGCTGGTCATTTTTTAATCTCAGTGGAACTTCTAGAATTTATCCTATTATTGCTCCTTAAATCCATTGTGTTCTATCTGGTCAAGGCCAACTTGAAAAAAACATGGAAAATGCTCAGAAATACTCAAAAGTGCAATATTTTATTATATGAAAACAAAATAAGTAGGTGGCATGTATAATTAACTAGTGTAATAATATTAAAGATTCAAACATAAAAAACTTCAAACACAACATAAATTACCTTAAGTGATGTCAAAGAGGGTCAGCATTTGGAGTACCAAAGGATACCAAAAAATCGCAATGCTCAGTTCATATAGCTATAACTTATATTTAGTATGCTTCTGTCGCCATGATGTGTGAGAAAGTAACACAGTGGAGTGGTGTTAGATTACAAAAGCAAGTGTCCGACGTCCAGGGAGGGGGCGCTAAATCCGCCAGTGTCTATAGCTTACGAAAAACTATGACTAATTCGATTTTTGAAGGGAAATTCTGATAAGTGTTAAAAGATTAACGACCATTGCTGCAGTTAAAGTTTTATGGGTGATTCTTCACGAACGCAAAAAAAATTCGCCCACCTTATCGCTCAATTTTGAGCCATCCAAAGAGATTTTGAAAAATGATTAGGGGACTGAAACGTACAGAAAAAAGTTTGAGCATTTTTTGTATCTTTTTTTTGTTTTAAAAAATTCAAAACTTTTTCATACTCCTCTTAGGAGCAATCTTGTCTAAAAAAATCCATATGGAGTTGCCAAAGATTTGCAGGCAGACTGACAAAAATGAGTAGCATGGATTTTTGGGATTGTCACGAAATATTAAAAAAAAAAACATGTTTCGATTTCGAACTTTTCTGAAAATTGGCATGAGAAGTACAACGCCTCGTATAAGGAATTGTCGCTATTGAATATTTGTCCCAATCAACGTAAAGAAAAAGTTTCACAAAATCTTTAAGGTTAGGTTGTCACAAAATATTCTCTCCCCGTGGGCCAAAGGACTATTGAGACTTACAAGAATCTAGTCATTGTTGAAACTAACCTTCTCTGGTCTAGTATCATTTCCACTCTTGTCCTCACTTGGAGATAATGATCTGTTACAAAGCCATCTATTTGTTTTTCTGTTATTCCAGAATTTCATCACCTGAAATTTTGAATCAATCAAAAAACAATCATTCCTCACCAGTTGGCGTGGGTAGTAAAAACACAACTTACCTCTTCTTGACTGCTAGCCATTTCGATCTCAAAGAAAGTTACTCGTATTTAACAAGTACCTAACAGGCAAAAGAAACTCACTGGCTGCAAAATCGTACTCAAAACGTCGGGAATCAAGATACGACTGGATAGATCATATTGTTATACGTATAGACGCGACATGCAGCGTTGTCAATGATTTTTATAAGAGGAACCAAAATAATCTACGGAATGAAGGCAAAGCTCCAGTGAGCATATTTATGCCTCCGCGTAGCGGAATTCCTGTGAACTAAAATCGTATTTTTTGGTTACAAAAGTAGTAATAAATTGCATCCACACATTATTTAATTGCGGCCATCTGGTGCCAGGTATCATAGAACAAAAACTCAACACAGACTCTGCTGGAGAATCGCGTAGGAATCTGTAAAGATTGAAACATCTCTGGTCTTCTAGAGCGGCAGAAATCGAGTTAACTATTTTGAGTCCGATATATGGTATCAATATAGTCATGGAGTCAAGATGTAATGTGCCGTGCATGTTGATGGAAGCAAATGATTGACCTGGATGTAAATATATATATATATATATGTATATGCATTTTCACTGGAATCCTGTTTGTTTTTGTCAAAGTTGTTGTGTAGATATAGTATGAAATATATCGATATGAATAAAAAAAAATGAATACCTCTATCTAAAACAAAAATACACCAAAAAGCTGGCATATGATTACAATCCATACAAGCCACAGCAGTCAATATCTAATACTAAAATGAATTTAAATATAAACCTCTAGCATACAGTCAAGCAGTCCCATGGAATGACCATGGTGTTTAACATGTTAATCAAATAATATCTTTACCAAAACTCACCATTTCTACCAAAAAACACATTTCTTCCGGGAATAAAGTTATTCCATTTTTACTGTGACTCCCAAAGTTCTCCAGGAGTCCTTTGGTGACAACAATAATTTGTGCTAGCTTCTTTAATGGACACCATATTGCTTGAGCTCGAGCATTTCTAAAAGGTATATTTTACATAGTTTCTAACATTAAAGTGATGTGTTTATTTTGTACTAGCTGTAGAATAGGTACCTTCTGCTTACTCTACTATGATTGAGAATCTTCTCCATATGGAGCAATTGATCATCAACCAATTTATGACTGTTATCATCATCATCATTGCATTTGAAGAAAAGCTTGGATCCTATGTTTTCGAACTTCACAAGAGGATTTTTGTTATCCTCAATTAACTTTACAGCTCTAAAAAAAAATTTAAATGCAAAAGCTATCAAATATCTGGATCTTCGTATTTACAGATCATGCATGGTGCACTTCATAAACTTCTCTTGGAAGGCAAAGCTCTAAACAAAGTCATCTCTTATTTTCAACGCTACTGGTCCGTCTTCATCGTTCATATTAGTACATTTTTACTGTTTTTTTTTAATTAGAAAATATTCAAGCCCATACTGCCCATACGTTTTTGTCGTCGGTTTTGTTTTCACAGAAGTTTGGTTATGTTTTGGTGACTGCCACTATACCCTATTTCACGACTATTAAATCACGGTAGAATGACAGCTGATTATCTAGTAATACTTCAAAATTCCCCATGTCAGCACAGGACACATAATTGTGACGGATCCGTCAACACCAGGTAGACAGAGCCGTATTTTCTTTTGATTTTTTGTACGCTGCAGATTCATTTTGTACAGCTCTTTTACTTAGGAAAGTTTATTGACATAGAAAAAACAAAACCACACAAATAAATTTTACTAGATTTATACACGATTCATTATTGCCAACTTTGCAGACAAACACAAAAGCGTGATGGATTCTCGTGAAATCCATCACTACAGATTTTTTCGCGAGATCCCGTAGTGAACCGGAGAGGGAACAGATGGAATTTCCCCTTCCTCTCGAAGTTTTGACAATTTCAAGTTACACAGGGAGTAGTTAGATGGCGCATGTTGCCCAAAATGTTTGCGTTGAGCTCCTTGATAAACTTAGCTGCCTTGTTTAAATCTGAAATACTCGTAAAAAGACCGATCGTTTTTTTGTGCATTGTACATATATATCAATAAAATCAATCATTTGATATGACAAGTGCGGTTCATATATCTTCTCCCTCGTCATTTAAAATCAGGTGGACGTGTTCTTCCATTTATGATTTAATAATTTAACTCAATTTTCGGCACTGTGAAGACAAATTTTCAATTGAGATGCCTATTTCTTAAATGACATTGACTTAAGACGTGTCACCCGCTTGACCTCACAGACGTTAGGCGGGTACCCGTACCAAGTGATTATTTGACATTCGGACGACATCACATCCGCCTTCCCCTATTCCCGTTCTTCGCGAAAATTTGAGTATCGGTTGATCGGTTCCCGGTAGTGCACTGTGCTACACCGTGGACTCGCGAAAAAATCCTTACTGTAGACTGACAGCTGATCATAAGTAATATCTAAAAAGTCCCCGGCACAGGACACATAATTCTGACGGATCCGTCAACGTCAGGTAGTCAAAGCGGTATTTTGTATTGGTTTTTTGGACTCTACCGATTCATTTTGTACTTGCCGACAGATCTTTTATTTAGGAAAGTTCATTTGAATACAAAAAACAAAACGCTACAAACAAGTTTTAGTAGAATTACACCCGATTCATTATTGCAAACTTCGTAGATTAACACAAAAATGTCACCTGCTGATCAGCTGTTCACCTCAGTAGACATCAAGGAGTGATGGATCCTCGCAACGTTGCCAGGTTCAAAAAATAAAAATCACTGGAAATTTTGCTAAAAGATCACTAGATTGAATAAAAAATCACTAGATTTTTTATTTATACAGGGTGTTTCAGAACTATGGGATCAAAGTTATAGGGGTTTTTCAGTGTAACAGTAGAAAACATTTGAGTATAGGGACCCATATTCGGAAAAGTGTCACTACGGCACTACGGCCCTAAGACGCGTTAAAATTTAGAAAGACGATGATTTGCCTAAATAGGATTTAATACATTTAATTATTTTCTCCTTTTGTACATGATATCATCACAACAATTATTCAAAATGTCTCCCTCCAATCTGAATATAACGTCACATGATTTCGGCGGACTTGACTAAAAATTTGCTACTCGTTTTGAATGATTTCAAATGCTGCTGTAATTCGGAAAGCTAAATCTTGCTCTGTTTCTACTGGAGTTTCGTAAACCAAAGACTTTACATGTCCCCACAGGAAAAATCTAGCGACGCTAATTCGGGTGACCTAGGAGGACAAGAAACTGCTCCACCTCTGGCAATCCAACGGTGCCCCAACGCGTCTTAGGACCGTAGTGCCATAGTAACACTTTTCTGGATGTGGGTCCTCTTACTCAAATATTTTCTACTGTTACACTGAATAACCCCTAGAAGTTTGAACCCTTAGTTCTGAAACATCCTGTATATTTTTTATATAGAGAGGAAAATAATATAACAAAATATTTTTTTAAATTTCAATGCTTCACTTTGAAAAACAAACAAAAACGTACATTGGAACAGACACATAAAAGAAACCATAAATATAAACAGACAAACGTAATAAAACCGCAAATATATTTGAAAGCTTAAAAACGTAACAATAAACATGAAAGTAAATATAACTTACTTAAAACTACATTAACCTAAACGAATATAAAAAAGAATGACTTTCTTTCTAGTACCTACATATTATTATGTAAAAAGATTCTTAAAATACTCTTAAAATAATCAACAAAAGCGTACATTTGAACAGACTCTTAAAAGAAGCCACAAATACAAAACTATCAGACAAAAGTAACAAAACATGAAATGTATTTCAAAGCTTAAAAAAGTAACAATAAAACCGAAATTAAATATAACTTATTTAAAACTACATTAAAATAAACAAATTTAAAAACAATGGCATTCTTACGAGTACATATTATTATTATGTTTTTTTATAACGTCGCTTGCAATTGGAAAATTAAAGCAGCCATTTCGTCGGCATTAATTAGTCTTTTGCTGTGCAAAATTCCACTTATTGTAGTAGCACCCAGTCGATTACGTAATATAAAAAATAATCTTTCCACACTTGCGCTACTGTGTGGCAATGTAAATGAAATTTGAACAAAATTGGCAAGCTCTGGGTATGCGAGACTAACATCCCCTTTTTTGATATTGCTTATGAATTTCACCAAGCCAAAAATCACATTCAGAAAACTTCAACTGCCTAAATTCTTTATCTAAATTGTTAATGTCTTTAACTATATTTGGAAAGCTACTAGCCTGAGGACCTATGCTTTCAGTTGATGATATATTTGATGACTGCAGAAAAGTTATTAGTTTGAGAATCTACACTTCTCGGGAATTAAAGGGGAATCGCTTTCATATTTGGCTTACCGCTTCAATATAAAAATCCAGACATTTCAATCTGAAATTATGTTTGATATTTTCGGTAAAAAGGATTATCCATTTCTTCCAATACTTTTGGACCCAACTAAATTTTTTCCATTGGAAGAAAATGTTCTGGATTTCGATACTGAACATTAACTATATCTGTATTTCTTAAATATTCTGATTCTATGAAACAGCTTAATAAAAATTTACACGCGTCATTAATCCGGGGGTAAATGATATGTAGGTACCTTGGTGGTTTCAGACTGGAAATTAGAATTTTAATTTGACGTTCCATCTCTTGTCCTCACACATCAACTTGATTTTTTCCTATAGACGCCATATTAGATTTTTGCACATGTGTATATAGTCAACGCCAAACAAAGTGGCGTGCACGTCATCACGATAAAAATTCCCCGACCTAATGCCTAGGTTTCTATCACAAACAATTGCTCTATTGCAGTTTCATATTAATGTGATATATAAATTGTAAAATGGTCATTACTCTCTTATTATGGTTAATAGTCATATAAACATTGTTATTAAAATATCACATAAGTTGCTTTCTGATAAATTTAGACGCATTATGCGAAATAAAATGTTTTGCAAACGCTCCAATCACTTATCGACATGTAAACGCACTAAACCGATTTCGCAGCGTTGACACATTGTCACCTTGAAACTTATTTAAACTGGGAACTGACATTTGTAATAATTTTGACACTGAATCAATTTGTGGCATTTCAAATCTTTATAAATCCTTTGGCCACGCATACTGTAAATCAACAACTGTTTGTTTCAAAACAAAATTATTCATTTTACGAGTAGATAAAGGCAATTTTGGTATATAAAGATGCCCAAACAGTTAAATAGTTGGTGTAAGGAA